AGCACATCTTATAAATTCAATAGCAAAGTCTAATCTTCTGATTATGATGATGATGATGGTGGTTAATGGATAAAAGTTATTAATTATATTCAATATTAAACTCATCCTTTTTAGGATATATATACTGTCTTCATAGTCTTTGAATTCAACAAAGTGAAAAATTCTTCAGGTGATGCAATGGATAGAGTTTTTGAGTTAGGAGAACCTAAGTTCCAAACCAGCCTTAGAATACTTACTAGCTGTGTGACCCTGGGCAAATCACTTAACCTCTGTTTGCTTCAGTTTCCTCAGCTGTGAAATGGGTATGAAAACACCAACTACCTTGGAGGTTTATTGCGAGAAACAAATGATATATTTGTAAAGGGCACAGCACAGTGCATGGCATCTAATTGGCACTATATAAATACTTATTCTCTTCCCCCACTCATATTAAGAAAAAACGTACATTCTTGTATCTGCACTTTATAGAGTCATTTCATTCGGGCTTATCCCTGGTGACTAAAGAAGATCATATACTTATAGATGACCTTAGAGGTCATCTAGTACAACCCCCTCATTTTACAGATGGGAAAACTGAGGCCTAGAGAAGTTCAACAATTTTTCAAATTCAGACATTTAGTAAGTGATAAATTAGCACTTTTGCCACTGTAACCATGATGCTTCTCCACAGTTTATAACTAATGTTGGAAAAAGAAAATATAAAGAGTTTATAACTCTAAACTGAGGGTGTGAATTTATGATCTATTTATTTTTTCCATCATTTTTATTGTTTTTCTTTTTTTAATTTATTTTTAGTTTTCAACATTCACTTCCACAAGATTTTCCAAATTTTCTCCCCATCTAATCCCTCCCCCCACCCCAAGATGGCATGCATTCTGTGTACTCCTTCCCCTAATCTGCCCTCCCTTCTATCTCACCCCCCCTTCTCTTAACCCCTTCCCCTTCTATTTTCCTGTAGGGTAGGATAGATTTCTATACCCCATTTCCTGTATTTCTTATTTCCCAGTTGTGTGTGAAAACAATTTTTTTTAACATGTATTTTTAAAACTTTGGGTTCCAAATTTTCTCCCTTCCTCCCTCCCCACCCACCCTCATTGAAAAGGCAAGCAACTTGATACATGTTATACATGTGTAGTCATGCAAAACACTTCCATAGTAGTCATGTTGTGAATATGATCTATTTAAATATGATACATGCAGTATACAAAATTATAACTTTTTCAATAGCTATAAACAGTTTAGATCAGGGATTCTTAACTTTTCTGATGTCATGGACAACTCTACTCTGGCAGTATAGTGAAGCCTTCTCAGAATAAAGTTTTTAAATGCATAAAATAAAATATAAAAGACTAGAAAGGAAATGAATTACATTTAAATAAAGATGTAATTTTTTCCTTTCAAAATTCAATGGACCCCCTAAAGACATTCCATGGGTCCCTACATGAAAAAACTCTTGACTTAGATGACTCTATGAAAAAACATAGGTAAGGCAACTCCTGCCTATAATTCTAGTATTAGAGAAAAACACTTATTACTCCTTTACAAGATGTCAGATTTTCTAAGTATCAACTTGTATTTCAGGTAAGATGATTCAGTCAGCAGTTTATAAAAATCTGTGTAATAACAAAACCATGCTCCTGATTTGCTGGGGCAGAGGCCAGACCATGCTGACCTTCTAAGCTGTCTTTGGCGCTTGTGGGTTGAGAAGTCTGGAAACCGCCACTATTGCCAGTGATTCAATAAAGGAATAGTTTACCTGTCAGATCTCAACTTTATGAACAAATGAGATCAAGAGTATTACTAGATGTAAAATATATAATTCTGATTATATTAAAAAGTTTTTGCACACACACCCACACAAAAAACAACACAACCAAGATTAGAAGGAAAGCAGAATGCTGGGAAACAACTTTTACAGCAAGTGTCTCTAATAATGGCCCCATTTCTCAAATATATACAGAACTGGTTCAAATTTATAACAACAAGTTATTTCTCAATTGATAAATGGTCAAAGGAAAAAAAACTAGCAGTTTTCAGATGAAAAAATCAAAGTTTTCTACAGTAATATGAAAAAATGCTCTAAATCACTATTCATCAGAGAAACACAAATTAAAACAACCCTAAGGTACCACCTCATACCTATCAGATAGGCTATTTTGAAGAAAAGGAAAAGGATAAACATTGGAGGAGATGTGGGAAAATTGAGACACTAACGAACTTTTGATAGAATTGTGAACAATTGGAGAGCAATTTGGAACTATGTCTAAAGGGTTATAAAACTATGCATGCCCTGCAATACCACTACCAGGTCTATTAGGTCTATATCCCAAAGTAGTTTTAAAAAAAGGGAGGGGGGTGGAGAAGTGAAAGAGAAGGACTTATTTGTACAAAAATATTTATAGCAGTTCCTTCTGTGGTGGCAAAAAATTTGAAATTGGAGGATACCCATCAATTTGGGAATGGCTGGACAAGCTACAGTATATGATTGTAATGGAATCTACTACTATGCTATAAGAAATGACGAGCAGGCTGACTTCAGAAAAATCTGGAAAGACTTGTATGGGCTGATGCTGAGTGAGAAATGAGCGGAACCAGGAGAATGTTGTACACACTTAACAGCCACGTTGTGCAATGATTAACATTGGCAGATTTAGCCCTTCTCAGCAATGCAAGGATCTAAGACATCTCCAAAGGTCTCATGACAGGAAGTCTGAATGCAGATGGAAGCATACTATGCGCTATTTTTTTTCTTCAGTTTTGTTTTGTTTCCTCTTTCTGATGGTTCCTCCTATTGGTTCTAATTCTTCCTTACAACATGACTAATGTGAAAACATGTTTTATAGGAATGCATATGTATAGCCTATATCAGATTGTGAGCTGTCTTGGGGAGGAAGGGGGGGAGGGGGAAGGAGAAAAATTTTAAACTTAAAAGCTTATGGAAATGATTGTTGATAAATCAAAATTAATTAATGAAAAAAATTAAAAAAAAAAAAGAAATGATGAGCAGGCTGATTTCAGAAAAATCTGAAAAGACTTACATGAACTGATGCAAAGTAAGTGAGCATAACCAGAAGAACACTGTACACAGTAACAGCAATATTATATGATGATCAATTGTGAATGACTTAGCTATTCTCAGCAATACAATGATCCAAGATAATTCCAAAGGACTCATGATTAAAAATGGTATTTACCTCCAGAGAAAAAACTGATGGAGTCTGAACGCAGATCAAAGTATACTAATTTTCACTTTCTGTATTTTTATTCATGTAGTTTTTTTCAAATTTTGGTCTGTATCTTCTTTCACAACATGACTAATATGATCATATCCTTTACATGACTGAATATGTATAACATTAAATTGCTTACCATCTATGGGGCAGAGTAAAGGAGAGAGGGAAAAAATTTGAAATTCAAAACTATAAAAAAAGAATGTTAAAAATTGTCTTTACATGTAATTGAGGAAAAAGTTATATATATACACACACATACACTCACATTTTATATATATACATATATATACATGTTTATGTGTGTGTGTGTATATATATATGTATATACTTTTTTAAAAAATATTTTTTAACAAAGAATTTTTATATTTATTTTATTTATTTATTTTTTGAGGCAATTGGGGTTAAGTGACTTGTCCAGGATCACACAGATAGTAAGTGTCAAGTGTCTGAGGCTAGATTTGAACTCAGGTCCTCCTGACTCCAGGGCTGGTGCTCTACCCACTGTGCCACCTTGTGGCCCCATATATACTTTTTTTTTTTAAAAGAATGTGGAGGTTTGACAAGAAACTGCAGGAAGAGACAGAGATAAAAAAAAACTAAAAAATTAAGGGCACTTAAGGAGAAATTATTAGGATGCTGTGTGCCAGGAGAAAAAGAAGGCAGTTCAGGCAACTTCTGGGGACAAATTCCAGTGATATGACCCAGCTGAAGTATGGTGGAGAATAAAAAAGGTTGTACTTGAAACTGAGGGGGTGTCCAGGGCCTAGGATAATGAGTTCCTACTGACAAAGGGAACAGATGAATATCTCATGCCTTAGGTGAAAATATGAGGAAACCAGCAGTGAAGGTGAAAAGAATCTGAAGGACTAAGCCAATGAAAGGAGGGAAACGAAATGGGAGCGAAACAGGGAGAACCTATTAGAAACTAAGCAAACAACTCAAACTTTATTTAATTTGAACTGAGTTACAGGAGACAACATAATTAACCTACCTACTTTTTAATGACTGATATCCCAAAATTACCTAAAACACAATAAAATAATTTCTCTACTAGAAACAGAAGACTTTTCTGAGACCTTCTCATACCCCCAACTGCTACTGTGCACTCCCTCTCAAAACACCTTGTATTTAATTACTCTGTATTTATTCTCTTTAGATTTATCTGTGTGTACCTATATATATATATGTATATATACACACACACTTGTGTCTCCCTTGTTTGAATATAAACTCCCTGAAAGTAGAGATTGTTTCATTCTCTGTATTTGTATAACCAGCTCCTAGCACAATGCCTCACACGTGAGCAGGTGCTAAATAACCACTTGTTGACAGACTATTTTGCTTTTACTGTAGTATAACAGACATGTTAGGAAAGGAGTAGCATAGCAAAACAAAGTCCCTGAATCCTAGGTGTGTGGTATCCAAAAGATAAACCTTCATGATACTCCAAAATGGTATCAGCTGAAACATGCCCAAGTGGTAAACAAAAAGTTCCCAAAGCAGTGGTGTCAAACTCAAAAAGAAATGGGACCACTAAACTGTACTTCAAGATCCTTGAGTCAACCACATATTAACATTATCTATGTTCTAATGTATTTTTATTTTGTTAAATATTTTCTAGTTACATTTTAATATGGCTTAGGCCACACTCAGAAATGTGACAGGCATGTTTGACACCTCTGATCCACAAGCCAGTACCACTTTTTGACACTTACTAGTCGAACTGGTAACATGCACATATTAAACATATGTCTTCCTATTCCTCACCTTAGTAGTTCTATCTGCATAAGAGGCAATTCCTTTCTTTGGTTCAACCTATAGGATGCCTTCTGGGTATCAGAAGAGAACAGCCAACTTCGATCATTTGAACATGGGGCATCAACTAACACCTAAAGAAAAAAAAAGACAAAAGACAGAAAACTTGATATATTCAAGGCAGTTTATAAACTTTAAAGTGCTATGTAAATAGTAAGCTATTATTATTACTATATGCTTTTTGAGAATCATTTTCCACACACAATAAAGGTTTGGAGATCCTTGAAAAGAATTATTAATAAGATATGCCATTCCTTTTCCAAGAGTAAATCAATGCATAAAAGTCATTCATTTTAAAAATACTACTACTTTATTTCTGCATTTTAAGCATTTAATTTGCTGAATATATGTTTCTACTTGTCTCTTGAAGTCCTTTAAATCTTCAATTATCATTATCTAGTATTTTAAAATACCACTGAATTAAAGAAATATTGTACTTTTTTCTTTTTTAAAGACTGGGTCTCCTGTCTCGGCCAGGCTGGAATTATAGGGGCTGCTCCATAGGCCCAATCTCATTACTGATTGGCAGGGGAACTTTGCCATCTCCATTTCTGACCTGAGTCAATTTGCCCTCTGGGAAAGCTGGTGGCTAGCTGCTCCCAGGAGAGAGAGGACACCTAATAACTATTGACCACTGAAGCTCATCACTCCCAAGCTCAAGAGATTCAGCCTCCCTGTAGTTGTGATTACAGGTGTGCACTACTATGCCTAACTACACATATACGTATGTATATATATATGTATGTCCATATATGTATAGTACATTTATATAAAATCTGGTCTTTCAAAGTATCTTTTAAGTACATGGAAAACACAAAAAGGCCCTTTAATCTCCCAACCCCAATGGTATCAGATACTTGAGCCAAATGGAACATAAAATAAATTATACTATAAAATGAAAATATTTCAAATGAAGATACCTCTATTTTCATTTTATTAAAATTTCTGAAGACACTAAAAAAAGACAAGAGACACTGTGTGTGTGTGTGTGTGTGTGGAGTTTAAGTAGGACAGGAAAAGTAGTAGTGATATTTGGAAAAAAGTAGTAATGATATTTAGAATCAGTCTGCCCAATACTATTACCTTGTCAAACATTTCGGGTTGAGTATCTCCTATCTCTCTGCCATCCAATTCGGATACTTTTATTATATGTGTCATAGGTTGTGGGATGAAGGATTCTAGTGTCTGCTTCAACCACCTTGATCTCAGGCTATCATACTCATTACAGTGAAAATAACCTAAAATATTTTAAGACAGTTTTTAAACCATGACATTATAACTGCTGAAACTTTTAACTTTGCTAGGCAGGTTTTATAGAAAGCATTATAATTATACTATTTAATATACTAAAAGCTTTTATTGTCAACATTTAAGACCTTTTACGCATAAAAATATAAACACACTGATTATGTTATTGGTGGACCTGTCAATTGAGCTACCATTTTGAAAATAATTTGGGATTGTAGGGGGTGATGGTTGGGGGGGAGAGTGAATAAACTGTTAAAATTCTTTGACCCTGATAATCCCACTGTTAGGCATAGAGAACAAGAAAGTAAAAAACAGAAATATTATATATAGATACATATGCACAAGAACACCTTTTCTTCTAGCAAAGAAATCAAAGTGGGTACCTATTAATTGGATAATAAACAAACTCTAATATGTGAATATAATGAAATGCCACATTTTAAGAAATGCAAATTAGTAATTATAATCTGAATTATAATAAAAAATAAAATAACTCTGAGGTTTACACTCTAACACATCAAATTAAAAATGGATATATTTAATTTTGGAGGGTCTGTGGGAAGACAGACCTAACTAGTGAAATTATGAACTGGTACAATAATTTTAGAAAAGTCATTCAATTGTTCATACCCTCTAAGCATATACAGCAAGGAGAGCAGTGATAGAAAAAAAAAAAAGGTAACTTGTTCAGCCACTCTCCAATTGATGGATATCCTCTCAATTTCCGATTCTTTACCACCACAAAAAGAGCAGCTATAAATATTTTTTATATACATAGGCCCTTTTCCTTTCTGGTTTTTTAAAATCTCTTTAGGATACACTAGTCATGGTATTGCTGGATCAAAGGGCATGCACAGTTTTATAGCCCTTTAAGCATAGTTCTAAATTTATCTCCAGAATGGTTGAATCAGTTCACACCACCACCACCAAGGCATTAGTGTCAATTTTCACACATTCCCTCCCAACATTTATCATTTTCCTTTCCTGTCAAATTAGCCAATCTAATAAGTATGAGGTGGTACCTCAGAGTTGTTTCAATTTATATTTCTCTAATCAATAGTGATTTCGAACATTTTTTCATAAGACTATAGATAGCTTTGATTTCTTCACCTGAAAATTGCCTATTCATACCCTTTGACCATTTATCAATTGGGGAATGACTTCTATTCTTATAAATTTAACTCCATTCTGTATATATTTGAGAAATGAAATCTTTATCAAAGAAACTTGCTATAAATTTTTTTCTTAGTTTTCTGCTTTCCTTCCAATTTTGATTCATTGGTTTTGTTTGTGCAAAACAAATTTAATTTTAAATTAAAATAAATTTTAATTTAATGTAATCAAAATTATCCATTTTACATCTCATAATGCTACCTTATTTCTTGTTTGGTTATAAATTCTTCTTTTATCCATAGATCTGACAGGTAAAATATCCCATGTTCCCCTAATTTGCTTACAGTACTACCCTTTATGTCTAAATCATGTAATCCACTCCACTCTCACTCCAGTGAGACAGACCCTTTCCCGCTGGTGTTCTAAGCTGCATAGGTCTGAAAAATTGTTTCACTTGTTGGTTCTGCCATTTCAGAATTCGTTTTGAGAGCCCAAGCGAGTCCCTCCCTTTACTTCCTAAAAGAAAAAAAAAACTAGCTAGCAACATATTAGTGAAGTAATGTATTAAAGTGGATAAACCACTGGATGAGCAATCAGTTGGGTTAGCATAGCCCTGGCTCTAGTATTTAACATGTATGACCAATTAACTGCTTTGAGCCCCAGTTTACTCATCTGTAAAATTAAATGTATCAGATTAGATGATACCTGAAATCCCTTTTAAAACTAAAACATCTTACTTCTAAAAAAAATGCTGAGACAATAGCCACTTAAGATTCAGGAAATTCCAATCTGTCCTTTTGTTAGACAAGGATTCTATTTCTTACCTTCTTTTCTATTTCATAATACTAATCAGACTGCAAAATATTCTCACTATGTGCAAAGGAAATTTTATGCTTAAAGGTTTTTGCATGGGTAAGCACAAAGCCAGAAACTAAACCAATGACAGCAGCAATTATTATTTTATTTTATTTTCTAAGAGGGAAGCTAAGTGTGCAAATTTTTCTATATGGCATTCTTGTTCAACGAATACTGTAATGGTTATTAGATGCTCTGAACTACCTGTTCGTTGACAGCCCACTTTCTCGATCTTCAAAAAGATATTTTTTTAACCTTAAGCTGACAACTATGTTTCAAATAAATTACATTACACACCTATGTTTTACTAGACAATAGTGGCAAAGTGATGAAATCTACATTAAAAGTCAATTTTAAATGAAGAGCTTTTACTAATTCAAAGCTACTTTGGCTCAATTTAAGGGATATCTATGGCACTGAGAAAGTTAGTACATTAATGGATTGCATATCCAATGACAGCCCAATTGTTAACTTCTGCTTTGCTTATATAATTTTGACTTGCATTCATTTTGCATTCTAAATTCAAGCACTTCAGCTAAACTAAATTTGGGACTAAAACTTTTAGTAGAAGCATATATTTACTTATATTCCTAGGTATACCAATTAAGGAAAAATCCCTTTACTTGAACCAGTGTCTACATATAGGTTATTCCTCTTAACATGGGGGGAAAAAAAGTTAAGTCTTCTTTACTTAAACCTTAAAGAATCCGAAGCCAACAACAACAAAAATTCTATTTATATAAGACACTTAAACATATTCTAGAGATCTAGCCAACATGAATTTTAGACAGAATTTCTCTTCAAAATGATGGTAGATATGCAACCTGGAAATTAAGAATACATTAAAATTTTAATGCCATTAAAAATTAGAAGAGAAGGAATTGACAGCTATAAGTTGGAGATGTCTTAATCAAACGAGATAATGACAACTGCAAAGATAAAATCTGATTACATGGTTATCAGAAGGCTTAGGCAAATAAAATTAATATACCTAGGATAAAAAGGGAAGCAGCTGAATGTGAAAAAAAATCTTCGCATCAAATTTCACAGATAAGGGTGTGCTATCCAAGTTACATAGAAAACAGAAATATGTAAGACCCAAAGCCATGATCACCAGATAAGTAGTCAAAGGATATGAACAAACAGTTCTCAAAAGAATTGCTAACTCAACTTCCGGGAGCCAAGATGAAGGAGAAAGAAGTAAGTCACTCTTACCCTCCCTTATTAACCTGAAAGCCCACAAAATATCACCTAAGGAAAAACACTGGAACAACTGAACTAGCAGAAACGTGGGGTACAGCAGTCGTGTAGCCCAGGAAGCTTGGGGGATTAACAGGAAAGGCCCTAATTACTCTGGGGAAGGAGGATCAGTACAGGACAGGAAGCAGCCCAGCAAGCCAGCAGCAAGCCCCATCTCAGCAAACCAGGGGGAGATCCTGAGCCTGAGAGTGGTGGAGGAGGCAGTTATCAACACCAGGAACACCTCAGCACCAGCAGGGGAACTGGTAAACATAAGCTCCGAAAACCACCATGTGTGCTGGCATTCTCCAGCAGTCAAATCTCCCGCTGTTTCAGCACAACTTCAGACTGGCAGACATCTTCCAGCAGCCAAACATTCCAGTGTTTTAAAGAAGCCAGGGTGCTCACCAGGAGAGCAGGTGGCCTCCAAGGGCCAGACTTCCCACACCTATCTGAAGAGCTCCAGTGCTGGTGACCCCAGCTCAGCACCAGGCAAGCTGCCAGACCCCTACAGTCTCCAGCTGCTAGCACTTAAGGGCCCAGAACACAAAGACAATGACCAGGTCCCAGGCTCCTAGCACAAGAAGCTTGGGTCCGTGCCCCTTTTGCTCCAGCAGGAGAGCTCCCAAGAAATAGGCAAACACCATGAGCAGAAAGCAGAAATGGACAATGACCATAAGATTCTTATTACAGGAACAAGGAAGATCAAGGCACAAATTCAGAAGAGGGCAACACTGTCAATATACCCACATTTGAAACCTCAAAGGGGAATATGAACTGGTCTCAAGCCCAAAAAGTTTTCTTGGAAGGACTCAAGAAGAGTTTTAGTGGCAGCTAGGTGGCACAATGGATAATGTACTGGTCCTGGAGTCAGAAGGACCTGAGTTCAAATCTGACCTCAGACCAGACACTTGACACTAGCTGTGTAACCCTGAGCAAGTCATTTAACCCAATTGCCTTAAAAAACAAAAATGGATTTTAAAAGTCAAATAAGAGAGGCAGAAGAAAAATTGGGAAAAGAAATGAGAGGTATGCAAGAGAGAGTCAATAGCTTGGAAAAAGGACAAAAATTGACTGTAGAAAACAAGTCCTTAAAAAATACAATTGGCAGGGGCAGCGAGGTGGCACAATGGATACAGCAATGCCTCTGGATTCAGGAGGACCTGAGTTCAAATCCGGTCTCAGACATATAACACTTACTAGCTGTGTGTCCCTGGGCAAGTCACTTAACCACCATTGCCCAACCAAAAAAACCAAAAAAATTTAAAAAAAAAATACAATTGGCCAAATGGGAAAAAAGTACACTAAAGAAAACAAACTCTTAAAAAATAAAATTGGCCAAATGGAAAAGGAGGTACAAAATATAACAGAAGAGGGGCAGCTAGGTGGCGCAGTGGATACAGCACCAGCCCTGAAGTCAGGAGGACATGAGTTCAAATACAGCCTCAGACCAAACACTTGACACATACTAACTGTGTGACCTTGGGCAAGTCACTTAACCCCGATTGCCTCACTTGGAAAAAAAAACATAACAGAAGGAAACAATTTGTTAAAAATTAGAATTGGGCAAGTGGAAGCTATGAGATAAAGAGAATCAGTCAAACAGAAATGAAAGAATGAAAAAATAGATGAAAACACAAAATACTGCATTGGTAAAACAACTGCCCTAGAAAATAGATACAGGAGAGATAATTTAAAAATGACTGGTCTACCTGAAAATCAGGATGAAAAAAGGAGCTTGGACAGTATCTTTCAGGAAATCATCAAGGAAAACTGCCCTGAG